CCCCTGCTTGTGTTCCCTCTCTCACTGTGTCTCTCTCTCTGTCAAATAAATAAAATCTTAAAAAAAAAAAAAAAGGATATAGCACTGGGTATGGAATGCCAATGGGGCTTGGAGAGAGGACAGAGAGACATAATTGGCAGAGATGGTCAAGGGAGGTAGCTGAGTCTCAGGGAGGATGATAGAGCATAAGTTGCTGCTAAATTTTTCTACCACCAATAGTCATTGTACCAGTATCACTTGGATGTTGCCTTGTGAAGCCCAGGGAGATGTAAATGAAGGCATTAGATATCCCTCTCTATCTCTTCCACGATATGCGCTTGAATTTGTTTTGTGGTTGAGACTAGGTAAAGGGTTTCCCTTGCTTCCCGTGGACCAAACAAGCTCTGAGCTGGTTCTGTTTCCTCCACAGATGATGGATACAATTTATTTAGCATAGTTGAAACAGACTACACTGACTATATTATGTTTCATCTTGTGAATTTCAACGAGGAGCAGCCCTTCCAACTGATGGAGCTCTATGGTAGCGTATTTTCGTGCTGACACTTATCTTGGGGTGTGGAGGGGGAGGAAGGAAGGTAAGCCTGGAGACAAACCTGTCCTCCCAATTTTATCCTGGAACGTCTCTGCTCGCCTGAAGACAGATGCTCACCTTTGGTAATCCCTCAGGCTCAGTGATGGGAAAAATGGTAACATCTCTCATGGTGCCAGAAGCATATCCTTAAGATGTCAAATTCAAGACAGGTTATAACCCATCCTCAAGACTTCCACCTAAGCACCCAATCAGTGCTGTCCATTTTACCATCCATCAGGAGCCGCCCCCCCATGAGCCTCAGGGACATACTCAAGACACAACAGTTCTGTCACTCTTCCCACAGCCCGAGAATCAGACGTGAGTGAAGAAGTCAAGAAAAGGTTTGTGAAATATTGCCAGAGACATGGAATTGTTAAGGAAAATATATTTGACCTGACCGAAGTTGGTAAGTTTAGCTATTTTTGGTTTTCCCTTCTTAAATTCCCATGTTACTGAAGGGAAAAAAACAAAAAACAAAAAACAAGAAAAGGCAATACCCCAGATCAGTCCCCTTGTCTCACCCTGGAAAGTAAACTGGGGTCGGTGTCTGCATGTGCTCTGCTTCTACAGATCGCTGTCTCCAGGCCCGAGGCAGTGAAGAGGGCCAGGACTCCAGATTGGTGATCTCTGGTGGAGAGGGTGGCCCAGGGATGGGGGCCTTCCAGAAGTGTTAGGGGTTTGTGTCCAAAGAGGACAATGAAAATAATTTGGTAAGGAAGCTTGTGGGGAGAGCGTGAGAGGTGGAGTTGTAGGAGCTGGGTTCAGGACTCCTTCCTACCATGTGCTTTTGAACAAATGGCCTAAGCAATTACAAGGGGAACAATGATGTCTACCCTACCGAGTTACTGTGTGGACATAATGCTGGTGAAAGTAATTGATGACCTGCTAAAAATCATTAAGACTTAAATATTTGAAATGGGGAAAGAGTAAATAGGGTGTGAGTTTCATACTCATTCCTGAGTATTCATACACATACCTGTTTCTGTGTTCGTCGTCTATCTTCCATGCCCAGAAGGCCATCTTGCCCTCCAATTTATGGCAAACATTTCTTCCTTTGATCTCTGCATGTCCTTAACTTCTCATCTGGCCATAGAGCTGTCTGAACGTCTACTTGTCTTCTAAGCTGGAAAATAAACTCTGAATTTTCTCATCAGTTTCCTAGCTTAGATTTATTGTGGAGCTTCATTCAGATAATGTGGCTTGCATAGAGTAAGTATTTAATAAAAAGTAGCGATGGCTTTGCCGTTATCTCTCCATTTATCAAAAACTCTTTAGAACTTCTAGTGCTGAAGATGGCAGAAACAAGCCTAGCATCCTTCATTGCTTTCTTTCCTTTTTTCATAGATTCAGTTTGGGGAAGATTAAGATGAGATCAGCAACAGAAAAAAGCAAAAAAGCATTTACTCATTGCCCCACCTCCCCTATTCTGGAAAATAACATAGGTTAGAAAACAGGTTGATAGCTCCTTCTTCACCATCTGGCTCTATAACAGAAATTCTTTTTGCTCTCAATTCAATCCAAGAAGTGTTTAATACATTTCTGTGTTCTCTTTTTCATCTGCTGATTTAGAGCTGAGTGAATGCTTCCTCATCTGGGCTCCAGGATCTTCCCTTACATGGTCCCCACGCCATCTAGTAACAAGGTCTGTGACCTGATTTCCATCATTATCACTTGTGAAAGCATTATCTCTGTCTGCATCTTCTGGATCTTCCCTAATTGTCTAGGAAAACTCACCAACCAACCAAGAATGAAAGATTTTCTTCTAACTTCCAACTCTTTGCCATACCTAGGAGAACTCTACAATGAATAAGACCTTCCTCCACCTGGTCAATAAATGATTAGCCTTGCAGTCCTGTGGTTCATCTTTGTGTATATGAGAGATACGGGGCTGACAACAAATGAATGGCGGGCAAGGAGGGGGGTGACCTCCTTGTTTCTGAACCCATAATCCTTCTCTAGCTTCTCAGAATTGTCCCTGAGTTTCTCCCTCCTCTGCAGTAATTCTCTGTCCCTGTGAGTGCTGTTTGCCCTTGGATTTGCCTATTTCTTAGTGACCTGATAAGACAAACCTGCCCAGAGTCTGCCCCATCCTAGAATGCTCTTTTTCAATGGAATGCTGAGAGACAGATGCTGTTGAGCCTGCTACTGGCTCAACATGTTTCAGCTCACTCCCCATTTTTCAGCTTCTCCATGTCATTCATCCTAGGAGATGGTCAGTGTCCTTCCATTCTCTTGGAAAAGCTCTTTCAATCACGATGGTTTTCTACTGTGAACATATAGAGTGAGATTCCATTAAGTGTGAGCAATCCCTACCTTCTGCAGTCTGCACTTGGTACAGTCAGGAGATATCAGGAGGCAAAATGCTATCAGCCTCTCCTTTTGGGAGCTTACAGGCTTTGGGGAAAGGGAAATTAAAGATCCTCCTCCACTTATAAGCCTTTTGCAACAGCGTAAAAGTTAGCAAGACCCGGGTGGGGGTTGTCATACAAAAGGAATGACTCAGTCACTATGGACATAAGGGAAGGCGTTAGGGGCATGTGGCACTCCCCACATCCTACTCTGCCTCCGGGTCAGAAGAATAAGTTAGGTTCAGACTTACTGCTCCAGACTTAAGCATTTGGTCTGGTTGGCTGAAATGCGACAAAAGGCTATGTAGAAAGCCAATCAGTCAGGCTGAGAATTTTTTTTTTTTAATTGAAGTGTAGTTGACACACAATGTCACATTAGTTTCAGGTGTACAACACAGTGATGCAATAAGTCTAGCAAATGGAGGAGCCCTCTCCCTGATGCCAGATCTCAAGAAAATCTAGGACCCCTCCTTTTTAAAGCATTTATTTATTTATTTATTTATTTATTTATGTATTTATTTATTTAAGGGGGGGCAGAAGGAGAGAGAATCTCAAGCAGACTCCTCAGTGAGCACAGAGCCCAACCAGGGGGTCGATCCCATGATGCTGAGATCACGACCTGAGCCGAAATCAAAAGTCAGACGCTTAACTGACTGAGCCACCCAGGCACCCCTAGGACCCCTCATTTTTTAAAAAAGATTTTATTTCTTTATTTGAGAGAGAGTGAGCAAGAGAGAAAGAGAGCATGAGTTGGGGGGAGGGGCAGAGAGAGAGGGAGGAGCAGGCTCCCCACCAAGCAGGGAGCCTGATGCAGGACTCGATCCCAGGACCCTCATGACCTGAGCCATAGGCAGAGGCTTAACTGACTGAGCCACCCAGGCGCCCCAAAGGACCCCTCATTTTTAAATGTTAGCACTTAAGGGATAGAACAGCTGATACCCAGAGGCGCATGGTTTAACATACTCTTGAGAATGCTTAAGACATTACCAACAATAACAATGCAAGGAGGGCCACAATGATGATGGGAGACCGCTGGGTAGTGCCTCATGTCAGCCAAGAGGGAGGAACAGAAAGACCCTCTCTTGTTCTCAGGTCAAGATGGCAGCTTGAGCTCCCACTGAAACCTACCCTCCCACTCCAGACACTTTATGCAAATGAGTCAAGAAATGTTCAGGAGACTGGAAAGCAAGGAGTGAAGATATAGCAGATCAGAAGCAGAGCAGTCTTTCTGGAAAGGGAAGGGCAAGGAAGGGAAGGAAAGAAATGATGTGGGTAAACAAGCCAGAGCAGCACCGTCCTCTGGGGTCTGAGTACAGAGCTGGGTCTCTCATGCAGTGACTCATGCAGGGTTGGGAGAAAGTGTCACAATGGCCATGGGGTCACAGAAGGAAGCTGACTACCTGTGGCCTGCTAAGGAGATACCACCACCCATTTGAGAAGGAAAAAAACAGCCCCTGCTATTCTGGAACCAGCCTGACTCCCACCGCTAGGCTTCAGTGTTCTCACAAACTGGCCTGATGCTCACAGCTAGACCATTATGGTTATGCTATTAGACATAAACAATCTCATAAAACATCAACATCAGACAATGGCACTGAGATCATAAAAACAAGGTCATTTTGCAAATATGCCCCCTCTCTCTGCTAAAATGAGTGAATTCTTCTTTTTCCTCATGCTCATCTCCACTCCTTATAGATAAGATTTCTTAAGATAACCAATCAGACTTGCCCCTGCTTTTTTGACAGCACCCAATCTAGAGCTTCCCCAGATCCTCCCCAAATCCTGTAATGGGTTCTTCCTAACCCTCTCTTACTGAGATGCTCATGGTTCCGCATGGTGAGCACTCTTCCTCCCTGCAATAATGAACTCAGCTTGTTCAACTCCAGTATGTTCCTGGTGATCTTTGGTTGAAGCGTATTAACCTTTTTAGGACTAGAGCCCGGACCCACTCCATGCATGTGCTGCCTGGAATTCTGGGAGGCACCAAGCTAAATCACAAATGCAGGGTCTGGTTTAAGGCTGTGCATCCTTAGGGGCGAGGACACAGGACCATCCAAGGAGTTTGGCCTGGGCAACTAGGATTGGAATTGCCGTTTTCTCTAGTCAGCTGGAGGAACCAGTGTAGTGGGGAAGGATAAAGAACTCAGTTTGGGACATTCCATTAGTTTATCTAGCTTGCCTGCTATTAAAAAGAACAACAAAAAAGGGGGGACCCTACCATAATTCAGTGTGGTTTAATGAAGACAGAATTAATTTCGCTCTCCCATGAACAATCTGAAGCAAGCATTCCAAGTTGAAGCAAGCATTCCAAGTTGGCTGGCAATTCTGTTCTTCCTATCTTGTTTCTCCATCCCTAGGACATTGTCCTCATCCGTGTGGTTAAGCTGAGTTGCAGGGAGTGAGAGAAAAGAGAATGTGGTGGAAACATGGTCTTATGCCCACTGTCCTCTGTGACCCCTGGATCTGGGAGGTTCTTCCTTGTTCATTGCACCGCCACCTGCACCCATATTCTGCTTGTCAAAGCTTGGAGAGATTATTTTGAGGATTAAAGAGTCACATGTTTTTTGCTACAGGCCAGACCTAAATTTCTTTTGGCAATGCAAATTCTTCAAAGATGTAGTAGGCTTCTGATGCATTTGGCTCTTGACTTCTCCTGTATCGAAAACCAGAGCCCCAAAATTCTTACTTAGGCACAGATTGAAGCCTGGAAACTCTGGGATGTTCTAAATCAGCCTTTATGCACTGCCCACCCCATATCCCTTTCTTAATCTAAAGGGGGCTACTTTGGCATATATGGCATATATGATCTACTGAGTAATCCTAATTTCTCTCCCCTAATTTCTTAAGGGGCCCTTAACCCCTTCTTTGCCAGCAGGCTTGCGACCTTTTACGGCACAGCCTTACGTCCTACTTATGTCCTCCGAAGACTAGACTGCCACTTCACAGCCACTGCTTCTAACTGCTTCACTCTGGGGTAAAGAAGCCATGACCCTCACTGGGATTCTGCTTTCTCACGAGCTCCCAGAGACGCCAATGCTGTGCCACCCGGGGAGAAGGGTGACACAGGTGAAGTGAAACTATTCATTTAACTTTCTTCAGTGCTTCTAGGCTCGGATTATTTTGTTCCACCTGGGTGCTGGAACCTCCCAGTTGTACCTCCCAACTCACACAGAGGGATCCTTGCCCGCGAGTGGTCGCTAAAATAGGTGTTTCTGTTAGAGGATGAGGGCTTACACCACCTCTTCCACCATCTTGCTGGTGTCAACCCAGGTTATTTCACCGAAAAGACGCACAGAGAGAAAGACGTTGAGTTCTCAAGCCTATTGAAACATTTTCTAGAATATCTAATGGAATCAGGGATCATATGAAAGATGACGGAATCAGCCACCACGAGGAGCTACGTTACTGCTTCTTGGTACACTTTGTTCAGGAACTGGAGGGCCAAGCTCACAGCCAATCCCACCATGGGATTCTCCGCCATGATAATTTAAATTCTAAGGTTTTTTTTTTTATTAGTTTCTTATCACCCTACTCTCACCTCACTGCCCATCAACACAGTCTTAGGGTCTGAAAACAAATTGAGTTAAGGAAGGGAAATAAATTTGCTGCAAAAAGCACCACTGAGCAATATTTCAAATGCAGACAAGTACGAATTAGGATTACTCAGTAGATCATATATGCCATGCTTCCTTCCAGGGGTTAAAAATATATGCGAGGAAACTCTGCTTGTGTATCAAAATACAGTGAGGAAACTCTATTTTGGCATCCAGCTGGGCAGGAGACATGGGTCCTGGATTTATTTTCTGTTTTGCTGTAAGAAATCACCACAGCACAAGTTTTGAAGGTCAGAAGATTGACACAGGGCTCACTGGGCCAAAACGAAGTGAGCCCCAAGATCATCTTTTAGGTCTTTTTTTTTAAAGATTTTATTTATTTATTTGACAGAGACAGAGACAGCGAGAGCAGGAACACAAGCAGGGGGAGAGGGAGAGGGAGAAGCAGGCTTCCCGCGGAGCCGGGAGCCCGATGTGGGGCTCGATCCCAGGACCCTGGGATCATGACCTGAGCTGAAGGCAGTCGCTTAACCAACTGAGCCACCCAGGTGCCCCGGTCTTTTTTTAGTTTTAAAGTTTTCTCCTTAGTAATCTTCTTGTGTATTCTTGGTTGTTGATTCCTATATGCTTTGACTGTCTGTTTTGGTTTTTGGTTTTTGTAACCACTAGTTGTTATGAGTTTTTGCTCGGTATAGAGAAATGTTACTGATTTTTATAAGTTGATTTCTTTAGCAAGCTTGATGACTTTTTTTATTAGTTACAATAAAATCAGTTCTAATATTTATGGATTCTGTTGGTTTTATAGGTGTATAGTCATATTATCTGCAAATAGTGTCAGTGTGTGTCTTCTAATCCTTACACGTCTCTCTCTCTCTCTGTCTCCCTTTTTTTCTCTCTTCTCCCTATAACATTAGCCAGAACCTCGGGACCACTTTAAACATTGAGACCATACTTTCTATACCAGGGGTTGGCAAACCATGGTCCATAGGCCAAATCCTTCCATCTGCCTATTTTTGTATAGCCCATGAACTAAGAACATATTAGGATCAACCCCAGTTAAGCAAAATGTTATCCCCCCAAATCCATTCTTCTAACCAATAGACCTATATTAAAACTAAATTGTGCTCAATATTATAAGTTTCATCAACAATGTGAAAATGTGCTTTCTGTATTATTATGTTAGTACCTATGTAATGTCTTCAGTTTTGCCTCTCGGCCCGCAAAGCCTAAAATATTTACTATCTGGCCCTTAAGAGAAGCAGTGTGCCAGCCCCCTTTTCTATACATGGCCTCTCCCCCGACTGTTATTTGCTGTAGCTATTTGTGCTGCATTTCCCCCCAAATAAACAAGCTTGTCCCTGCAGAGTGCCTGCAGTAAAATGGGCATTCGGTTACACGATTGTGGGATTAAGGAGCTATTTTCAAGCTGTCCTGTTACTGCTCTCCTTCAGATATCATGACTAACTTGAGCCTGAGAGGAGGAAATTTAGATAAATGCCAAATAAACTTCCAGAGTAAATATCAAAGCAGGACACCCCTGAGGTTATTTTGGGGTTTCAAGGACAAGGATGAAGGTTCCAGATTTCTACTCTTGGCTCAGAGGACTTTGTCATCTGATCCTCTTGTCCCAGGACAGAACTTCAGTGCAGACTGTGCTCCTGGAAGCCAGCCCATCGAGAAACTCGCTGTTGTTCTTAAAAATTAGCATTTCAGAAACACTGTTCTGTTGGTTTCAAAAAATGTATGATGGATCTGTTTTGATTATTAGAATAATAGACAATTACCGGCTAACCTGTTGGTGAGGATAGAGAACTAGAGTGCCGGGTGGTTCAGAAGAGCCTGGCCTGGGAGATGAAACCTGGTCAGCAGCACGGACACCATTATCCAGCGGCCAGGATTCCCACAACCTGACACAACTACCTTCATTCTCCACGTTTCTGTTAAGCCTGAATTTGTTATGCACACCATTTTCCTCAAACACCCCACGAGCAATCCCATCTCTGGACTCTTGTCCTTGCTGTTCCCTCTGTCTGAAATTCTCATCCCCCAGATATCTGCATGGCCCACTCCCTCACCGTCTTCCGGCCCCTGTGCGTCACCCTGCAGAGGACTCCTCCAAACCCCAAAGATCAAGTAGCACTCTTTCTCCACCTTCTTTGACTGGCCTCTCCTATTTATTTGTTTATTGCCTGGGCCCCCTCCCTCAAGAATGTAAGTGCCATGAAGTCAAGGAGGTGCTTTTGTTCACCACATTAGCCAACACCTGACACAGACGCCCCATGTTCATTGTCTTAATAAGTGGGTTTCCCTGACCTGCACAGGAAGGATTCGAGAACCCATCTTCTTCCTCCCTTGTCTTGCCCAAATGTTTTCAGGAGAGTGTCTCTGTTCAGACAGAAGAATGTGGGACCTTTGGAATTTTACCCATTGGTGGAATTGGAGAGATGGGAAGGAGATTGCTTCATAAAACACTGGGCTCTTGGAAGGGGGCCTGGCTGTCCCTCACACACCCAAGAAGAGCAGGCCTAGGAATCAACCTCTGAGAGAGGAAGAAGGGATCCATTCATGACCCGCCTCCCCACCTCCTACAAGGTGGCCAGAGTGCTACCTCCCTGCCATTTCTGTCCAGCCCCCCGGGGGGCTCGAAAGAAGTTGAGGTTCAAGAAATTAGTGAAATGGTAGGCAGAGACTTGGCCCGATAGAAGGAGATGAATGTTTCTGAAATGTGATCCAGTCTTCCGAGTTGAGTCGGGGTGGCCTGAGGGCACCAGAGGTCTCTGTATCTACAGACGAAAATGGAAGAGCAGCTCTGCAGGGCTCAGAAGAAAAGGAGGGACTGAGTGTGTGGGGAGCTGGGGGCAGCCTTTATCCCTACCTTACTATCTCCCTTCCCTCAAATCAGCTTGGCTGGTTTGACTCAGACTCTTGCAGCACATACGTATATGAGCCTTCACTCAACAACAAAAAAAGAGATTGCTACATTAGCAGTCATCTTGTGTGATATTTATATTGCTACGCCTCTTCCCCAAACTGACAGTGGGGCCCACATGTCCACATTCCCTTAGGGCCAGGAAAAGTGCAGAAGCGTCTCCATCTCTGAGTTGCCATTCTCCATTCACCTTCACTGTACTTTTTTCATCTCAGCTCTAAAGCAAGGAATATAACAAGAATCCACGCATTTCTTCCCCATCTATAAAAGGGGAATAGTAAGAGTAACATCTAAATAGTAGATTGTTGTAAAGATTAAATTAGTTAATACTGCAAAGCATTTAGAACAGTGCCTGACACACAGTAAGTACTACCTAAAGCCTTTGCTGTTATTATTCCTTTACTACATTTCTGGA